CTCTTCAAAGCGGGATTTTGTTTTGATTTCGTTACAGTAGTATTTTTTTCCATTTGAGAGCTTCGACTGAGGATAAATACATTTTTTAATGGAAAGTGGACATAAATTCGGTTCTTCTGAAACATTTATTACGGTAGCAGCAAGGACGACTGCAAACGTCACATCGATAAAATTACATTTATCTATATTTATTTGTTTATTACACGGAATGTCTTTCTCGGGATAGACACTTTTAATATTTTCTGTCCTTCGTGTACACGTTGTCTCAGTACATTAAAATGTCGAATGAATATTTATTTTCATGCATTTCCGTACATTTTGCAGAATGTGAATTTCCATTTATGATTTTGGCAAGTGTGTTTTCATTTTACTGATAATTTTATGTTCAATTTAATTAGCTAAGAATATGATGTGTAACGTTTTCGCTGATAATGTGCCTTAAGTAGGCGTCAATAACCTGTGACATCAATAAATAAATAAAATTAAGAAGAAATTCTACTCGTTTCGTTTCGTGTTATTTTGAACTGCTGTTTACGTCTTCTTTGGCTAAAACCCGATATTTTGGAAAGTATTTAAATTTTTGCAAAGGAAGATTTACAATTTTATTTGAATCTTGAATACCCTCGCGAATATATAGAGTTTATCATCTTGTGAAATGTACATCTTCTTTTGTCCTGGTGTGTATAAAAAACCTCCTATGTAACCAAAAATGTAATGAAAAATTCTAAAAATTTCCATCTTTTTGAAATTTCTTGGTGATTACTTAAATAACTATTTACTCACTTTCATTGTTTATTTGTATAAAAATTACATTTAAAAATATAGGAATAAAAATACATTCCTCACATACAAGAAAAACGAAAGATCATCTCAATTTGGTTCTCAAAGTTACTCAAAAAACACTTCGTTAGACTTTTTGTTTTTAATTTTGAATTCCACTTGCGCATCGTGCACTCTGGCCGATGCAATGGATCGGAGTGAAGTCCAAATACGCAAATATTCTTTGAACCGACGCGACGTCCAACGAAGCATGACGAAGGCTTTCGCTCATATTGATCGATGCAATGCGTCATAGGTCTCTCACGCCAGAGAAGCGAGAGGAGATCACAAAGAGGCAAACTGCTGCCACCTACCTCTCTTGTAGCTAGCCGCCTTGTCCTTGTCTACCTCCTTTCACTCGAATCTGGGTGAACGAGAACGAGTGTGTTAACTCAGAAATCAGAGAATGTGACGTGCTCCTTAGGTCTGCTCAAGAAAGTGAAAGAATTATCTTTCATGAATGTTCTCGTTTTCTAAAGAATTGTTAATTGTAAGGGCTTAACTATAAACATTTTTATTAGTGTTTAATTTGCAACGTAACGTCGTGACATTGATGTCATCTTTTTTTTCTTACAAAACTACCATTTTAGCTCTGTCTTAAAGAGTAGCAAATGTTTCACAAGAGTAGAGGAGTTTTATCATACAATTGCGTGTTGATCATGATCCCTGTTCTCTGACAATTGGAGAGTCAATTGACTCTCCGATGACTGGTATTGAAAGAGAAAAAGAACCTATGTTATCTTTCAAAGCTGGCGTCACCTTTGTGGATGGAAAATTTTACAATGTAAATGAACGCATAAAATAAGAGCCAGCCGATCCGGTGGCCGATATCGCTAAGGCAGTAGTGCTGTAGCGATCTCGGGCCGAAGGATCGCGGGTTCGAGTCCCGCCTCCGGCATGGTTGTATTGTGTTTGTCCTTTCACCCCCACTATCATCATCATATCTTGTCATCCTGACAGTTACCATAACGTTACAAGCAATAGTGGTCGCTAATGACCTAGAAGTTGATGCGACCTTAAATAACAAAAAAAGAATGCCGTCTATCAAAATACACTTTCAGATACAAGTCTTTACCGGATGTTAAACTGTCCCCAAAAATGCTGAAATGTCTGATGCAAGTTCTCGAGCAAAAGTGGTTTCCTCAAAGGGAATTAGGAGAAAATTGGACTCGTAATGAAATAGCCTCGTTACACATGGAAAAAGGTCGCACCTAAAAAATAGTAGTTTTTGAATTGTGTGCAGAAATATGTTAAGAAAGTGGTATATTTTTCATAGTAGTTTTAGCCCCAAAATAATCCTCTCGGATTAAAACCGTTCTCCTGCAAAATGATTTTTAGATATATCACTTTTTCGACCGACATTTGTTTGCTTTCCTTTCTCCATTGAACGATGATATTTTCTCCCAGTAATTTGTGAAATAATAGTCTTGGTTTGACAGGAAATGTAATGGAAGTTCGTCACACTTACATAAATTCCTACAAGTATAATTATATGTACATTTCCTGTTTACGTCATCGCCCATTTCGGTGCCTACAGACGTCCACTTGCCTGTGATTGTTTTCACCGTGTTACCAGCCTGTCTCCCCATCCGTCGCCTTAATGTGGATAGTGAGCCCACTTTAATGGATTTATGTTTGCGTTCGTGTTATGAAATACTGCGCACACTGCCGGGCTCTCAGATGCTATTAAATCTACTGTTTATGGTCCGGTTGTGAATGACGTCTAATCGACATAGACCTTGTCAGCTGTTGTGGTTAGCGTGCTCCGTTAAAGGAGCGTGAGGACATTTAACACTCGCATTGGAACGTGGTAGCTAAAATAATTTCCTTCGTTAGTAACACCGTTACATCGAGAGTATCCCGTTATTACAGGGTCATTTGTAGTTGCTTTGTTGCCAATCGAGAATATTGTGTAAAACCGCAAACGCAAGACTACAATTCTGAATAATATCAGTGTTACAGTAGCTGGAATTCTACCTGGGTGAACAGCATCAGGAAGGAAGTGCGGTCCATTAAACAGGTATTCGTCTGTAATTAATCTGAGTAAATCAAGGGAATGATCGATCAGAGGAGCTAGCACCTGATTATTAACCTAAGGGGCCCTATCTGGCTTCTCTAATAATTAATCCAGACGTGACTATCTTGATCCAAAACGTTGATCAGCCTTACTGGGGGACTGCACCTGTGCAGCCAGGTGTTGTTGAGCCCCACACCGCAGACTCTTAGACCTTCAAGCTTCTTGTTTCGAAAGTCTCGTCCCATCGCATACATCACGCGGGCGGAATTAATTCACTGGCGTCCCGTACATGTGAGTGTGGTGGCACCTTCACCACACGTTCCTTGTGGTTCATTCATGATTGTGGTCTCATTCATTCATGTGATTCATTCTTCGGCGTATCCAGAGAGGCATTGCAGTTGTGCAGTGGAATGCGAGATGTCAACGCCGGGCAGAGCAACACACTAATCCAAAGTGTACGACAAATTGACAGACCATCAGGGGCGCTTTGCAATATTCCTCGACGTGTGTTGTGGGTTGTCTAAGTGCCAGGTGCCCGTCAACTAGTACGTTCGTACCTTGAGTTACTTTCGCGAAACTGTGCTTACTGGTCAAGGGTATTCAGTATTATTATAATATATATTAATAATAATAATAATAATAATAATAATAAATTGTTGTTGTTATGCCTCTGCTTTCTCATTATCTTCGTCGTCGTCGTCGCTCTTCCTCTCTTCTTCTTCGTCTTCTTCTTTTTGCTCGCTGCCCTTTCACATCTCACGGACGCCGCGTCAATAGGAACAGAGTTTCGCTTGTTTCTTTCGATTGGAAGGATTTGGTCGTGTCGCTAGCTAGCATTCTGTCTCGCAGGGCTTCCCACAGTCGTTCCAGTGCTTAACTGGCGGGGGTGGCACGGCACCTTGGCGCGACGGGCGGCGAGCCGACGGAAGCCGCGCCGTGCTCGCTCCATTGTGCGCCCGGCATTCAGTCGCCTTCGGAACTCCCACGCGCTCTCGCTCTCTCGCGATGGCGCGCGTCAGGAAGCAGCGGCCGCGCCAGCGGGCGCACAAAATAGCGGAAGGGGGAGGTTGGATTTTCGGGACGTTCAAAATGATGGATTACCTCTAGAAGGGGTTCTAAATAACAAAATAGTAGTAGGCGTCGATAATGTGCAAGTCAGAAAGAGAGTTTTATTTTCTTAAATTTGTTTGTGAGCCGGTTCATACATTAGATATATTCATAGATATCGTCGGTGCACAAGCAAAATGACACGTCTGAAACTGTAAATCTGAACGCAGCTTTTGTTTTGAGACCGCCAAAGTGACAGTTGTATATACCGACTGTCTTGTGTACCATCTTCATGGATTGTGTACTAGTAAAAATACACTATTTTCTTAAAGTGTTTCTTCATTTGTTTTGAACAGTGGTTTTTGAGGCGTAACTTTTCGTATATTCCGACTACATCAAGTTAAATAAATCATTGTTTCTTTTCACACCACTTTTATTTTTGCATTCTATTACAAAATGTATTCAATAATTTGTCATTTTGTATGATGACATTGCCCTTTGCATGACAATGGAAAGTGACAATATCTATTAAACCATTAATTTACTCTATCTGTAAAATTTATTTCACAGAAAAAAAATCGGATAAGGATGGACTGGAGACAGAATGACAAAAAACTCACGTGCCGGCGTTAACCCTTTCTTTAAAATACTGCTACAGCATCCAATTAGAACTATTAAAAAAATTAAAAACGACTTGTCTTTACAAGTCTCATCCAGGCAGTGTCTTTGACCAACGAAGCTTCTTGGTTCGTGTCATGTATCCGTCACCTTCCAATTCGAACGTTAGACCTCCCCTCCTCTATTGTACTTCGATCGCAGACCTCCAAATACATTTCATTACTGTAAAACGTCTGTAAGCGCGGGCATTTGCTCCCGTGGCCTCTCCGCTGCCTCGTCCCTCCCGGTCGCACGGTGTTGCACAAACCCGAAGCGGGCCTGGGAAAGTCGTTTGTTTGTAAATCGCTCGCGGCGATATATGGCTAGGAGCACTAGAGCAACTTTTGAAAGCTTTTGCTTGCGTTGGGGGTAGGAGGCGGTAATGCCTCGCGAACGACTCACTCGCCGCCGGAATAGAAACAAGTGTGTGTTTTCCAGAGCGGAAACAGCGATCTCGCAAATGTGTCAAATGCTCGATGTGTCGGGGGAACCTCCGCGCCGCCTGCCTCGTTCCACAGAACGGGTGCGAACGAACGAATTAAAAGTCTGTCGATCGGCCCTGCCATTACCGTTCGCTCTTTCGCATTACGCCCTCCCGCTAATTCCATTCATCCCTCGTTACGTCGATACCAGCGGCTGTGCCCGACTTCGCTGACGGGTCGTGCTATTGGAACGGAAAACGCCGTCGTCGTTCTGATGATTATTGTGTCGGCGAGAGTACCCTTTAAAACCAAAGTGGCTAACCAGAAAGAATATCGACGCGTAAAAAAACAGTACCTGATATCTCCAAAACAATTTAACAGGATACCAAAAACTATTGATTTGTTCTTCCTTATAATCTAAATACATATGATTTTGTATTTCCATTTTTAACCGGAAAATAACGTTTAAAATCTGACCTGTTATTTTTTATTTATTTAAATGTGAATTCTTTTTTGTAAGCAGGTTTATTTTTATAAAAATGGAAATATGTTGTTGTATATATATTGTTTCTTAATAGTTTGATTGAGGCACTCAGAAATGTTCATTAAAAGTTAATCATAATTAAAAATTCGTATTTCGTTAGTTAAAATGGCGTTAATTTCACATATATTTCGTATGTTTGCTTAATTATTTTCTTTTTAACGAAACAAAGGCGGTTATTTAAATTGTTGACTTTTATTTTTAGGTGAGAGAGATGAGTGGACGCGATGGATGCGAAGTTTTCCTTTTTTACAAGAAGTAAATCATTTCTCTCCAACCTGCGATAGCTTTGTTAGTAATAGACAGTACAAAGATTTTGAAATATTTAAATGGCTACCCTAAACACTATTATTTTTTCGAGTAGCATATTAATAGATAAAACAGTCTACACAACTCAAGATAACTATTATATTTATTATGAATAGCACTATTGAATGCATGAAATCGAAATTATAATTTGCATTATTTCCGAATTTCAATTGGCTTAAAAGGATCTGGCATTTGGCACGTTTGGGTCGACTGTCCGACTTTGTCGGCTAATTTAATTCTCACGCTTGGAGGGAAAGACGGGTGGAGAACATGACGTATTCGCTTGGCCGTAGCTAGCAAGATTTGCTTTTCTTCGTCACACAACTTCAAAACTGAAACTATTTTAAAGGAAAGCTGTGACAATTTTTGCCTCAATAGGGAATAGAACCCGGGATTATTGCGTTACCTCTGATCGGCAGGACCTAGGTTCGAATCTCGATGATGTTAGGTTTTGCGACTAGATAGCCATGAATACCAGGCGAATGCCGCTGCAGTACCCTAAAAAACGGGCCATGGACCGCGCGCAATCTTTCCTTCCTTTTCTTTGTTCTATTCTCACCCCTTACTTACACTTACATGCACTACACTACCACACGCGTCGGGAGACCGGTCGGGAACTAAGGATTTGTCCCGGTTGGGACGGTGCCCGCTGATGAGAGATACCTGGTTGAGGAAAACTGACAGTCAAGTCGGCGACGAACCTCGCCATTAGGCGGGGGAATATCAACGCTACCTCCCGAGAAAAAGAAACAGGGACTACACTACACTTACGGAACTAATGACCTTAGCTGTTGACGTGCCCAGAATCACTATTCAATCAATCAATCAATCAAAAGAATCCGGGATCACACCATGGGAGGTAGTACGCTGCCCATGAGCCATTTTTCAAGCCAAAAGGCACAATTTTCAATTGAATGATATATTTTGTTATTTTATTTCTGTGAATTAATATTTTTCATTTCCTCTATTTCAAGTTGGCTTTTGATATTTACGAAATTAAAAGAATTACATATTCACGGCTTAAATTAACTTCTCCTAACTTGCTGTTTGGAGAAGTTGGGCAAAAGTGTGTTCACCTTCTGGGTTCTCACAGTAATGCATATTCTTCCACTTCATGCGAGCGGAATTCAAATCTAAATCTTCTAAATCTGCTTTGATATTTCGAAGTCTATATTGATATATTGATTCAATTACTTAAGCCGAAGAAGCTAAAAATGAAATAAATTAGATGCAATTGTTTTATGAGGGCCTTCGTTCCGGGTGTCCCCTTGAAAACACCCCTGACGGAGCCCAAGACCATGACCGCATTTATTTATTTATGAATTTTATCATCAAATACGACATGAGGGTTAAAACACGCGAACGTTTCCTTGAGCTCTGGAATCCCCAAACTCTCTCTTTAATATATTTAATTGAATTATCAACAAAGGATGCAACGAGCGTTGTTGGTAACATTTGATAACAAGTTGTGTTCACTCCCATGTATAGAAACTTTTTTGCATCGATAAACGAGCAATATATTCGATGTGATGATAATGCTGACGAACAAACACTTCTGGCAGCAGTACGTCCTGGATTGATCGGCGTTGTTTGCCATGAAAGGTCCTCTTTCGGGATGACGCGAGTTCCAACCACAGGTCACCTCCCCCCACCTCCCTCTTCCACTGCCCCAGTGATGCGGAGAGGAAGCTCAAATAGCGCCACCTGCGCCTGCCTAATGCGAAAGACGTTGCCCGCGCTTTCACCTCGCCCAAGGACGCGACGACGGGCAGTGCCACCAACCTCGACCGCGCGGCCCTCCTGCCCTCCCACGCCTTGGGGGAAAGGCTTTCAACACTCTGTTCATCTTTTTAAAGAACATTAAAAATCTGACAGAGGCATTACTTTACTGCCTATTTTACATATTACTAGTTATAATGCATGGGGTTTTCCAGAGCGTGTGTCTCCAACTGTTACTACACGAACGTAAAATGTTTCAAAACAATTGTCGCTCGAGACCCAAATTTAATTTAATTGTTTTTCTTTACTACTAGGCGATTTATCTTAATTGGAGAACCATGGTTGTAAAGTTTTTCTTTGCTGAGTTAACCAAGATATTTTGCCGTGCTTTTCCACCTTTTTTTTGGAGCATTTATAGATTTTTGTTAATCCAGCTTTTGTGAGTTTGTTGAAGTACTGCATTATAATATATCATACATTTCTCTGATAAAGGTGAAATAATCATTGAAACGTTAACATAAACAATTATTGGTGGTAAAAATACTTGTCTTTGATATTGGAAACGTTACGTAAAATAAAATACTAGTTGAACCCGCAAAAGTGTTTCCAGGTCGCAGAAACATGTGGTCGTGCTAATTTCGTTCGCAGGCACGTAGTTCGTAGGTGCCGAGAGAATCAAGAGGACTTAATCAAATAGACCACCCGGCATTTCGCATTTGAGTAATGCCTCCCACGAATCAGAAAGGAAATTGAGTTGAAATTTTTTGCAGTTATCGAAAATTCAGAGATAAAGTAAATCTTACCTGTGCCAATTTGTTAAATAAATGGCGACATTCAGGTAGAAAGAATAACGAAAGTTTTGAAACCGTTTTTGTGAAAATCTTGTTTATGTATTTTTTTAATTTCCACTTTCTCATTCAAAATTATTAGAAAACTACTCATTTTCAATGTGAGACGCTTTGCAAACATTGTACGCGACATCATTTTATGATCCAATTTTGAGACACAGATGCCCTTATGGAAAAACTTTATATTCAATCATGTAGTTGTGGGAGGACGTTGAGAAAAAATCCCCTAAACCCTTCTGAAAACCTGAAAATCAAACCTGGAGCCATTTTTATAAGCGTATTTTGCTATATTCAAGACAAACAGATTTGTTAATTTTGGAAATAATCGAAAATGTCGTCGGGGATTCACGCAAAATACTTCCCAAAATTCAAATATACATGTCAACATAGAAGGGCTGCCACATCAGCCTGATCGGTCGGGAAGTATAAATTATGACGAAAATTGGGGATACGGTTTTCGCGCTGTTTTTTATAGACCTCTAAAAACACTTTTTCGTTATGAAGGACACACAAAACGAGTATTCTGACTTCATTACTTATTTGAGAATGTTGGTTACTACATATAAGAGCTAGAAACATCCACTTTTTCAGTATCAGAAACCTATTGAACATGTTTTTTTCTTTTGAAAAATTGCCACTGTTGCGTGCAACATTGTATAACTTTCTTTTTCTACGAAGTAGGTACGAGAAAGGAAAAAACTATAATAAAATTCCTAGTAGTTGTCAAGATTTTTTTCATATAATGTAGAGGACAAGAGAACAGAAATACATCCACTTATTTCTGCTTGTTTTAATTTTACTTTTTATTTATGATTCTATTCATTTGATTTCTGCAGGGTATGGCGTTCACCCTGGAGGAGCGTCAGATGCTTGGCATCCATGGCTTGATCCCCCCTCGTTTCAAAACTCAAGAAGAACAGGTGGAACTGTGTCGTCTCAACTTGGCTCGCTACACAGAGGACCTCAACAAGTACATTTATCTATGTGGATTGCAGGTGTGTTAGATGTCATTTGTATTCATAAGCATTTTGTGGTGGGTGGGATACCATTTTCCACTAAACACACATCCTGCATTTTCATTTTTTACATGACATTTCATTTACTTGGAAAGTAGACTGACAAATACAATTTGAAAATTAAGTTTACAAAATTAAAAATGGAAGTTCAGCATCAAACATTATTGTTAAGCAGGCTATTGCAGACCCAGATCCACGACAAAGGAAAAGAAGGAAATTTACCCCACTAAAATTTTTCAGTAACTATTAATTTGAACTTGTCATGAGACTTTCAAGAAAAATATTTTCAGACTATCGTTAAATGAAATAAAATTGTATCACAGCATAAGCTGAGTGTAGTGTGTGATATTTTATAAAATCTTTAATATGGCGTATTCAACAAAAACATTTTGAATTTCCCATCCCAAAATTTATCTCTGGATCTGCCTGTGACTATAGTAACATAAAAACAGTCCAAAAAATTAAAAGCCATATTTGGTAGGAAGATTCATTAACATACTTGTGCTTATTTAGTTTATGGTTTTCTTTTCCAGGATCGCAATGAAAAATTATTCTACAGATTGCTATCAGAAAATATTCATGATTTGATGCCAATAGTTTACACTCCAACTGTTGGTTTAGCATGCCAGAAATATGGGCTTATTTACCGTCGACCTCGAGGATTGTTCATTTCAATTCATGACCGTGGCTTTGTATATGATATTCTTAAAAACTGGTATGTAATTTATTGAACTTATAAATAACATTTAAGTGACTGTTAACTATGAACTTGAGAAATTCTTTGGGTATTTATAAAACAAAGAAATGACAATATAATTTTTTTGTGCAGGCCAGAAACTGATGTAAGAGCAATCGTTGTTACTGATGGAGAGAGAATTCTTGGACTGGGAGACCTTGGGTCTTATGGAATGGGCATTCCTGTTGGTAAACTGTCATTGTATACAGCCCTTGCAGGAATTAAGCCTCACCAATGCCTTCCCATAACTCTTGATGTTGGCACAAATACCCAGGTAAAATGATGGATTAATGATCCTGTAATAGAAGAAATTTTATCATACAAATGTTTATACTTCATTCACTGCCTTTATTTCCAGTTAACTGTAATTTTGGTAATTTTGCTAATACACAATTTTTCAAAATGAAATTATAATAAATTGCAACTTAAGTGATATGTAAATCCTTATGTCAATTTATACAAAGTTAGAATTCTTCCTAAATACAAGAAGTGCCTGATTTGTTGTTTTAATGATGATAACATTAACATGTTAATCCCATCTGATTTCTTGTTGCAGCTACTTCTGGATGACCCCTTGTACATTGGTCTTCGGCAGAAGAGAGTTAGAGGTCAAGAGTATGATGATTTTATAGAGGAATTCATGCAAGCTGTTGTGAAACGATTTGGACAGAACACACTGATCCAGGTATAACTTTCAGTTATATGAAGTTATTCATATATTATTTCTTACTGAAAGTGAATCTAGTTGATTGTTGATTAATGAATGATATTTTATTACATCTATTTGTTTAGTTTGAAGATTTTGGCAATCAGAATGCTTTCCGTTTACTTGAGAAGTACAGAAATCAGTATTGCACCTTCAATGATGATATTCAGGGAACAGCATCAGTTGCAGTTGCTGGTCTTCTTGCATCATTACGCATCACGAAGAAGAGGCTTTCTGATAATGTTATCCTCTTCCAAGGAGCTGGAGAGGTCAGAATCGAAATGTACAAATAATATTTCAGATATTTGAATGAAATTATGTATCAATCTATTTATACAATTTTGCTATTTTTAGGCATCACTAGGCATTGCTGGGCTTTGTGTCATGGCAATGATGAAAGAAGGAACATCAGAACAAGATGCTCGGGATAAAATTTGGATGGTTGACTCAAAGGGATTGATTGTTAAAAACAGACCCTCTGGTGGACTTAATCATCATAAAGAAGTGTTTGCTAAAGAACATGAACCTGTTACTGATTTAGAAGAAATTGTGAAGCGGATAAAGCCATCTGTATTAATCGGTAAAGAGGTTTTTAACATTTACATAGAAAATTGTATTGAAGTTGAAATTTAATAATCATGACCATTTTAACAACTTCAGCAATATAAACTAGAAAGAAACTGATCAAATGAATAACCACTCCTTTTAGATTTTATGATGCTCCAGTTGTATTTTTCTAGATACCCAAGAAGTGTTATTGAACAGGCAAAGTGTAGTAGTAGAAAATTGGTAACTTGTATCATGTTGAATATGAGCATGATGAAGTGTAGTTTAAAAAATTACACTTTAAATTAAATGTATTGTATTTTATGTTTGGCTGGGGGGGGGGGGAAACAATGTTCTCTTATAGCAGCAGTACTAATGTAAACTCCCACTTATTTTAGGTGCTGCAGCTGTAGGTGGTGTATTTACTCCTGAGATTTTGAGAGAAATGGCAGCCAACAATGAGCGTCCAGTAATTTTTGCCTTGAGTAATCCAACAACTAAGGCAGAATGTACTGCTGAAGCAGCATACACTCACACAGATGTAAGGAAAAGTATTTATATAGAATGTAAAGTACTTATAAGTTTACACACAGAGGGACTCATGGGACAATGCCTCCTCTGATAATTTTGAAAGAGGCACTGTAGTCTGGTAATTAAACTTTTATTTTCTTAAATACTGATTTATCCCTTTTCTCTCCTGACAATTTGGGAAATGGTAAGAAAAAAATTGATAAAGCTCTCCAAGCTATCTGACAAATTAGAATATAAAATGCATATTTATTAATTGTATGATGAAAGTTATAATTTCATTCTTCACATTACAGTATGTTTTATTCATTTACTAGTAATTATAAAATGGAAAGGGGGTCCAACAATGTATTTGGACCTCCCTCTTGTTTCAGGCTGCATGTGCCTGTGATAGTACTTATATAAAATACTTGTGAATAGTCATGAGCTAATTCCTGATTAAATATTTAGAGAGTAGTAACAATAATTTTAATAGAAACTATTTTTATTATTGTGATTGCACAGGGCAGAGGCATTTTTGCCAGTGGTTCTCCATTTGATCCAGTCACATACAATGGACAGACATTTCACCCAGGACAGGGCAATAATTCTTACATATTTCCTGGAGTAGCGCTTGGGGTAATTTGTGCTGGGATTCGTCACATCAATGAAGAAATTTTTCTTATGTCATCCTCAGTGAGTAACATATTTATTCTAATAGGTGAAAAATATTTTGTATTAAGGATGATATATTAAGTTCTTCATCCATATTTCAAGTATATTCTATTTTAAGTTTATTTGAGTCTTCTTTCATTTCCAGGTTTTGGCGGACTTAGTTAGCGAGAAAGATCTTGAACAAGGTAGTCTGTACCCACCTCTTACTACTATTCAAGATTGTTCATTAAAAATTGCTGCCAAGATTGCTGAATATGCATATGAGCAAGGTAAAGAAAGTAAAGACAAGAATTTTCATTAGGCCATTTGGAAAATTTTTTATTCCTAAAACAAAAATAATTAAGTTGTAAAAAAATATGAATTAAATTTTATTTAATTTCTCTTTTTGAAATATTCAAATCACACATAGTTCTAATGTAAATATTTTATCACTTGCAAAGACTGTAATGAGATCTTCCTTTGTGAATTTTTGACAGGGATGGCATCAACGTTCCCCAAACCAGATGATATAAAAGCTTTCATTAAGGCTCAACTATATGATTGGCACTACAGTTCTTCCCTCCCAAAGACATATTCATGGCCCAAATTGTAAAGGTAAGTTTGAAAATATTGTCTCTGTCCACCATAATGAGTCAAATTTAAGTGAAAACTTACAATGAAAAAATATTTCAATGCAATCCAGTGTTGTTATGAAAACAATTCAATAGTGTGAACCATTTTATTTATACTGTGTCAATGCTTTTAACTTAATAAACACACAATGTATATGGCATTCAGTTTAATCTAAGTGATTAAATGGAATGTACTCATTGATAGTGATGATACACATAGTGATTGTTTGGGAGCTTGTCAAAGGGTAAATTATTTTTTATTGATATTTTGATGTGTTGTGCCATACCACAACGTATTTGCATAGTTTTTACTTAGTTTATTTTTGGTCATTTCTATTAGTGAAGTATTCTTACAATTTCAATTTGTGCTCAGAAAAGCAAGAAGGGTATATAGAGACTTAGACACATTTGAGGGGAAAAATAACAACTTTATTTTTCTTCTGGCTGACAAAAATTTCAGATACTTTATTATGTTCCTGCAACCCCTTCAATTCATAATTTGTGTATTCATATTATTTATTTCTGTAGGTTATAATTGATCTGAAGTTTCTAGATAATTAGATCTAAGTGATAGTAAGAGGTCACTCAAAATTCCATTACAATTTTTAAACACTAATGTGAAAAGTTGATACTTAATAACTATAGTAGAGTCTTGCATATCCAAAACAATTGAGAGTGAATCCCCTTTTGTATTAACACATTTTTCCAAATTAAGTAAATTATTTTATCATTACACCTAAATACATCAATTAGTTGTTGTTATTATTATTATTATTATTATTATTATTATTATTATTATTATTATTATTATTATTATTTATTTTTATTATTTATAACTTGATGCCACATTGGACCACTTGAGTCGTTCCACTTCACTTGTTCATGTCGACTGTCGAAGGTTTTCACCTTGAGGTGAGAATATATCCTCGAGTTACAATTCTGAATGTTATTCGGAAAGGAGATAATGAGAGATGGAGAATGATGGATGATAGGTGAAAAGGTACGATCACAATACAACCATGCCCGAGGCGGGACTCGAACCCGCGATCTTTCGGTACGAGATCGCTACAGTACTACTGCCTTAGCGATCTCGGCCACCGGACCGGCCTTAGTTGTTATTAAATACACCTTTTAAATCGAATTACAACAATAACTTGGGAGAAGGTTATTATTGCATTTAGAGATAATGATGAATAAAGATGGGCAAAGCAATAGCAGGCATATTGTTGAAGTATTGGAGCAATTTAACTTCCAGGGACAGGTATTCTCCTCCTTGTCAAAAAAATGTAACAGTTTTTCAAGCAAATTTATTTCTGCACTGTACTGGGAAATAGAATGATTTCACATTCAAAAAATAATTTTGTTTTTATTTCCCATAAATCTCCATAATATTATTTTTAAATTGGAGTTTGATATATGTTGATATGATTCTTACAATTTTGTTTTATTTTTTATTATTATTATTTATATGTAAAGTCCTTCCTTAATTAGGCTTAAGTGCTGGCTCCAATACTTGTATATTTTGTTACACAATGCAATGCATAAATACTGAAAGACTTAGACATGCAGAAAGTAAATTAAAAATCTTATGTTGTGAAGCTAACCAACATTTAAAAAAAGTCCCATATGGAAGTAGTTATTGGAAAATGATTATTCTGATGAGGCAAGTTATAGAGCTGACATGTTCTGAGCGTTTCATCTTTAAATCCTGCTTCCTGAAAGTTGATATTTGTGATACTAAATTGTCCTTTTCTCAGCTTACATTTGTAGTAGGATACTGAAGTTTTCATGACTTGTTAATAAAAGTTTCCTATATCTATTGAAACAATTATTTTCTAATATCCCAGTATTATTCATTCTATGGAACTTTATTTGCTAGAAAATGTGGTAAAAAAATTGTATTATGATAAAATATTTTTATCTACAAAAATAAAAATCCTTTTCAAAACTGTTGTTTCAGTGTAATTATGTCTGCATAATTATCTGCAATCTGTTAAAATTCATAAGCCCAACTTCAATACATTCATAAAATGTATGCTCAAACATTTAACTTTGCCAGGATAGTGCATTCCATATCCCCTTAATAATTTATTGTTTTAGATGTTTTATTTTCTTATAATTTTGAACAATATGTATTGCAGTAGTTTTTAATATAATAAGCTTTCCAATTTCACCCTGTCCCGTAAATTTATTATCAATTTCAGTTTATGGTGAAGTGGACTTTTGGCCTACTAGAGCTGAGATTAACAAAACTTTATTGTATTCTTTTTCCATTTTTGAATAATTTGAGAGGATGAAATTTGATTAAATTTGCAATATAATGTTAGTAACTTCCTCAAAACTAATTACAGAATATATATTTTATTTCAGTTTCATTCTGAAGTCATGCGTCACATAATTTGGTGGACTGGCGAATGCACAATGCATTGAACCATATTGCAAAATTTTTGCAGCACACAGTATATCTTGTATGTATTATTTTAATTTAATTTGTAATTTTAAGTGTTCTGTATTATATAAATAAATCTTTCTTGTAATCTGTCGTTTTATTTCATACTCCTAAATACTCCTGAATATTCTTATCCTGAAAAGAATGCATACATTCAACCTCATTTTTGATTATGTGTACTTGTAGTATTTGGTATTTGAAAAAGAATATTGTACCACATTGGTTTAGGACTGTTCCAATTCCAATTTCAAAGATAGATCTATAGATGAAAATGAAGATATACAATTCTACATTTTAGATTAGAGAATTTTACGAGTCATCACAAAGTTTTTGTGTAATACAGAATGTGATGAATCATTTACTCTACTGACTAACAATCATTTTCAATAGTCTTCTGATTAACAATACATTTGACTCAATCAGATGATTTTCTCACAAATAGGAATAATTTCAGTTCACACCACATAAATATGCATTAGTAAGCAGTGAATATATTAATGGAAAAAGAAATGAATTAATCTGAACCTCTTCACAATTTCACACACAAATTTTTAAAAAAAATAATAAACTGCACTGCTCATTGTAACTCAAAGCTGTAAAACTTGTTATTGACAAAAGAAAAAAGTATCAATTTTATTTTGAGCTAAAAACCAAATCTGGCAGCTTCAGGGTCTTTGCATACTGCTAAAACCCACAGTTCTTAAATTATCTTAGCAACAAAGATGTCTAATAAGTGCTAGTGAAGAAAAGTAGTTTCCAACTCTTTTGAGAAATATTGTAATGAAAAAGAAAATAGCCAGAAGAAAATTATTTTGCTTCATCCTTTTAAAATCACATTTAGAACTAGCATACTGATATTGTAGTTAGTTTAAATTATTGTACTCTTATTTAGTTGTACCGACAATAGTATAATTGAAATAAAGTACAAGTTGATGTCTGTCTATCAAAACAGTAATAAGTTTGATCTTCTATCTACTGAAACTGGAAGCAAAATTTATCAAATTTTGTGAAAAGAAACATTAATACATATTGAAATAGAGGAATCTATATTCATCACATTTTTACAATGGCTCATTTATTTCTAAAGGATGATGTTATGTTAAATATTTTTGAAAAAATATATTTTGGGTAAGATTTTATTAGGAATAGGCAGGCAATATTATTTGTTGAAAGTTTGTGCTGTACATATAAAAAGTTTAAAGCAATTTTAAAATAAACAAAGAAGGGGGCAGATGGAGTGGGATTAACTGAAGAACAAAGAACACAAAGAATACCATATGGACTGGTATTGATATTGAGGTGGGTCAATAAGAATGGACAATGGCTAAACTAACGAGATGTTTTATTTTTATTTTGAGAAGAACATAGTCAATACATTGGCAAACAAATACAATTCTGGATTAGAATTAATTCTGATTTTTTTTTTTAATTTATTTATTTATTTATATTTTTTTTGGTCGCTAATTGGTCATCTTTAGACCATGCAAACTTGCCATTGTACCCATGGAAGCCCAGTCATTTTTCCCAGGGGTAAGTGCATGTGACTTATTTGGGGAGGATGAGCATTTCTATACTGAATCCATTTTTACACCCCATGGGTTATTAGCCCTGGGGGGATGAGTTATGAAATGATGATGAAGGATGAATGGACAATTAGAAACATACAGACACACCCACAAACATCCATGCCCCATGTGAGACTCAAACCCGCAAACCTTAAGATACGAGATTGTACTTCAGCCTTAGTGACCTCAGCTATCCAAAATTGCAGTTTGGCTAAGTCTTAACAATTAGTGTTATTGTTTTGTTTTTTTAAATCAGTGTTGGTTAATTTATTTTCTACCAACTGAAATAAAAATTATGAGAAAACTAGTGATGCTACAGAGTGGTACAGATTTTCTCGTAGTAAAGTTTTCTATTTTCCTTGGTGTGGACTGGCTTTTAGGGTCCTGCCCCATCCTCTTGCTAGCTACCATATATTGCTGCCAAAAGTAAATTTTTTTCACATTTTCTCACTTTCTCGGTTTCCTAATTATATCCAAAAAATCCAAAATATTACTTTATGAATATTAAAGAAGAATAAAACCTTGTCCTAAATGGCAATTTTTATTGAAAAAATGTGGAGTCGTTTTTAAGAATATGGCATTTTAGCATTACCGTAAATGCAAAATTTGAACCTCTTTTCACAGAAAAATTTAGTTTTTGAAATACTTCATTTAAATTTATTTGAGTCACTTTAACTCACAAATACAATAGTGTTTACAAATCGCTAAAAATGTGAATATTAACGGTGAGAGAGATATTAAAAAAAATACATTTGTGTCACGTTATTTCAAGAACATGTACACATAATACAATCATGTGAACATAATGCTGCTAATGTAAATATTAACAGTATAAGACACAAGTCAAAATAATTAAATTCTTGTGATTTAAAAACAAAACAAAAGAATAGAACAATATGGCGTTCATGTCGTCTTATATAGTATATTTAGCCCTAGCAAAAGTTAAAGAAAAAAATTGTAGCCGTTTTTGAGAAAATCTTTTTTTTCTTTTCTAAAACTGCACATATTGCATACAATATTGCTCGAAAACTACTAAAATTTTCAAGAAAATGTACAAGACCTTTTTCAAACAATCATGTATAGAGAACAAATTTCATATGAAAGAAAAACCTCTCTCTTCAACTTTGTAGTTGTAGGATGTCACTGGAAAAACATGTCATTTGCAATTTTCAAAAATTCAGAGTTAACAGTGTAAATCAGACCTATACCTACACCTTTATAAGTGTATTTTACCCTATTCTTAGAAAAAATTTAAATAAAAAATCTGGAACCATTTCTGTGAAAATTTTGAAATTTTTCAGGGGTCTTTGTATAAAGTATTCCCAAATTTTAAAGAAAGTTTTTCAAAGTCTCAAAGATTTGACTCGAGAGGGGATTCTTCAATTTGGAAAACATCCTATGCATAGTTTAGGCGCTAGTGGTGTTAACAGATGGTCGTTTTGAAAAATATACTATTTAGGTGACAGGGTGCCTCAAAATGTTTATTTTCGTTGAAGTCCTGAAATCGTTTTTTCATGGCATTATATAGCTGTCTCTATACTATATAATTTCTCTGTATATATCTACATATTCAAGAAGGTAACAACTACAGAATGGCACAGGCTTTCTCGTAGTAAAAGTTTGTAATTTCCTTGGTGTGGACTGGTTGTATGGTCTTGATCCATCCTCTCGCCATCTATCGCGAAACCAAGTACTTTTTTTTGTTGTTGACATTTTCTCAATTTTTTCGTTTCCTAACAGTGTAACAGAAATAATACTTTAAGAATATTAAAGAAGAGTGAAACTTCGTCATAAATAGCAATTTTCACTGAAACACTGTTGAGCTATTTTTAAGAAAATGTTTTTTAAGCGTTACTGTAAATGCAAAATTTGAAGCTCTTTTTCACACAAAATTTGGGAGTTTTCGAAAAACATCAATGGAAATCATTTGAAGTACTTTGAGCACAAATGCAATAGTGTTTTGAAATTTGCTGAAATTGTGCGAATTAACGGCGTGAGAGATATTTCAAGAACATTACATTTGTGATATTCTTGAAAAAAATGAACAATACATCATATTAAGCAGTTTAATTAGAACTATCAGTTGGAAAATTTTCAAGAAAAAAATTGGAATCTTTTTTTAATAAATAGCATGTAAGCGTTTCTGAAAGGGCTTCATTTTCAGCTCATTTTCTCAGGAAACTGTTGGGTTAAATGGCATTATTTAAAACATATGAAATTGTAAATACAGTAATGAGAACAAATCAGCGCAAATTTAAATATTAACGATGTGAGAAACAAGTCAAAAAAATTACATTTTTGTAATTCTTGAAAAGCCAAAGACTATAGCAATATGACATATATACGTCATTTTATAGGATACGTTTAGCACTATCCCTACCAAGAGTTTAAAGAAAAAATTTGGAGCCGTTATTGAGAAAATCTTGTTTTTATTGTGTTTTTTCAAAAATTGCACATATTGAACGCAATATTGCGCGAAAACTACTAAAAGTTTCAAAAAATGAACACGACCTTAATGAATGACTAAATACAGAGAACAAATTTTACTTGAAGGAAAAATCTCTATCTTCAATTTTGTGTTGTAGGAAATGTCGGAAAAATTCAAACTTTTGAAGTTTCCGAAAATTTAGAGTTATCATTAAAAGTCGGACCTATTTGGGCAAACCAAAGGTAGGATTTTTTCCAAATTGAAGAAACTCCTGTCGACTTGGCACCAGAGGCACTGCGATTTTCAAAAACTTTCTTCAAAATTTGGGGGTACGTTACATGTGCTCTAAGAGAGGACATTTTACTATATTATTTCGTTTTTTCAAAAATTAGAGAGCTAGTTTTTTGACTTGTCTCTCTGATGAGCATTATTACTATTATTACTACTCAGATCGACAGGGGTTTCTTCAAGTTGAAAAAAAAAGCTACGTACTCATGTCGTTAATATTTACTTTAGCAGCAATTTGTTTACCTTATTGTAATACGAATACATGCGCTTTAAACAAAGATTCTCGAAAACTCATCAGTTTTCTGTGAAAAATAACTCAAAATTTCGCATTTTCAAAAACGCTCAAACGCCATTTTCTCAAAAACGTCTCCAAATATTTTCTTCAGACTTGTCAAACGAATAGTGCTAATTGCACTCTTTAATATGTCGTATGTTTCATTTCGGGCTACATTTTTAGTTTTTTCAAAAATTACACAAATGTAATTTTTTACTCACACCGTTAATATGCACATATTCAGCAATTTGTAAACACTATTGTATTAGTTGAAGTGCTTCAAATTACTTCGAATGAAGTTTTCCGAAAATTCAAATATTTTCTGTGAAAAAGAGCTAAATACATTTTTTTTAAACGGCTTCAAATTTTTTAAAGAAAATTGCCATTTAGTGATAGGTTTTACTGTTTTTTAATATCCTTAAAATATTATTTTCATTCCACTATTAACAAACAGAAAAATTAAAAAACCTAAAAAAAGTACATTGGGCGGCGATAGATGGCATTTGGCAAGAGTATGTGGCAAGTCCGAATAG